CTAAGGTGCATCACTCATCCTTCCAACCATAGCCAGTCAGCTTTGCAGTTGTTGGACAAACAATATCCTAAAAGCAACCAAATGGTATAAAATCCAACCAATCACTGAAGTGTGTTGAAAATCAGAGGATTTGAAACTGAAATAGTTGTAGTGCATGAATTTTGAAAATAAATGGCCCCCTGATACTCCTGAGCCCCACAGTGTTACCGACAGTTGCAATTTTATCATGAGTTTCATGGTCTTTGGTGTTTTTTCTTAAAGCCCCATGTCCTGGAATCAAGTGAGAATGCCAGCTTTCATTTAAAACAAAAAAATAAGGGCTTGTCTACATGGTCGGGTAATCCACATTACAGGGGAGTGATTTCTAAAGCGCACAAATGTGTTGTGCATTAATTGGTCTGGGTAGATGCTGTTCGTGCTGTTTCAGCACTATGTTAAAGGGTACTAGGGAACCTCTACTGTGCACCAACAGGGTCTACATGGACCAATTAACGTGCATTTTAGAAATCACATCCCTATAGTGCAAATTACTCTACTATGTAGACAAGCCCTACATTCTAGCTCTCTTGTTTGTGGAGAAAACCTAAAAGTGTCCAAAGTGAGTTCAACCTAAAGGTTCAGAAAGCAAATGTTAAAAGGCCAAAAATTATATATAAATAAAGTCATACTTAATTTGCAAAATTGCAGATCCCATAATATTAGGCTTCAATCACAATTTTGATTTAAATAGCTTACTTTGCACAGGCCACAGTTTTGCATACATTTTGAGGTTTGCAACACACTTTTTTCCCCATTAGTATAGTAGAACCCCATCTATCCGAGCTGATAGTGCCTGGGGTTTGGTAATATAGTATCAGCAAAATGTCTGGTTATCAAAAATGAGCAGGCATGATATAATACTTGAGTGATTCTATAGTTCCACAATCTTTTCTTCAACAAATAGGCCTTCTCTGGGTTTTCCAAATCACTGCAATGAATTTGTTCATTAAATTAATTAAGTACTGCAACTATATTATTACTTTTCCACTATTTTCCATGTCTTGTCCGCAACTCAGCCACAATTATTTGACAATCATCCCACAATTGAAGTATGGCCAAATTTATAAAGTCTCATGATTTTTAAGAATCAATCTCAAGATTTTGGGCGCCTGACGTGATTTTTGAATGCTCAGGGTTGGCAATACTGCATTTAAGTACAGATGATTATATGAAACTGCTAATCCTCAATCATCATGATAGAAAGTCTTTCATGCTCTACCCACTGGAGTTATTTTTATAGCTGTTGGTTGGTTTTTAGTTATTTTTGTTTTAAATTGCTCTCACTTAGCAGCAGTTTGATGTTATTTAGCACACAATTAAATGGGGGAAATGTATTTAGTCTCAAAACCTTTGAGAGACAGGAAAATGCAAAAGTTACATTTCCAAAAAGCAATGTTAACTTGGTCATATTACGCTTGTTGTTTGTTTTATTGTATACATTTTAGACTATATAACTACAGATTTAACTGAAAACAGTAACAGGAAATAATAATGCAGCAGGGTGGCATTGCTTTTGGAACCTAGATTTTTACAATTCTAGACTTTGTAAGGTTTTTTTAAAATAAAAAAGGTCACAAATCCCCAGAGAGGACTATGTTCATGTCAAGTTTAAAATGCCAAACTTCAGCCATTTTGGCTGTAATTGTTTAAAAAAAGAGAGGTTAGAATTATTTTCATTTATTATTAGCTATTTTTTATATTACATTGGTGAATAGAGACCTCGACTTAGGTTGGGGCCTTGTTGTGCTAGGTGCTGTACAAATATATGGTAAAAGACAGTCCCTGCCCCCAAAGAGCTCACTACCTAAATAGATATGGAAGAAAAGGGTAGGGGAATGGAACTATTATTATCCTTATTTTACAGATGGGGAGCGGAGACACAGAGATTAAGTGAAAAGAAAAGGAGTACTTGTGGCACCTTAGAGACTAAACAATTTATTTGAGCATAAGCTTTCGTGAGCTACAGCTCACTTCATGAATTGCTGTAGGGCACGCAGGAAATTGGTGGCAGAGCCTGAATTCAAATCCTGACTCAATCTAGAGCCTTAACCACACAGCCTCTTTTTCCATCTCACAGTGGGAAAAGTATATTCTTCTCTCACTCATAACTAGGACCCAGCGAGGTGAAAAGGTCTGAAGAAGAGCTCTGTGTAGCTCAAAAGCTTGTCTCTCTCACCAACAGAAGTTGGACACTGTATATATAGGTAAAAAGGAGACAGAGGGAAGCTGACTGAGAGCTACAGCTGCCCTGAATCATAACCCAGCTCCAGGAGGAGAATGAGGGACTCCTGACTTGGGAAGAGAGAAAGTTTGAGCTATAACCCAACTCGGGGAGGAGGACTGATGACTCTTAAACTCGGGAAAGGATGCTTGTTCAGTATTAACTCCAGGGTTACAAGAATGGTTGGGCTCTGTAAAATGAGATAAGAAATGAGACCCTGCAAACAGGGATGTTAAAAGACACCAGAGTCCCACTCATGGGACCTATTCAAGGCAGCAGAACTCTGAGGTCATATATTGTGGGCCTAATTCTGCTTCTTGCTTACACTGGTGTACGTTGGGAGTAACTCCATTTAAGTTTATGGAGTTATGCCTGTGTAAGTCAGAAGAGAATCAGACCCTGTCATATTCAAGTCTGAGTTGTTTCTTTGCTTTTAATTTTAATGTTTGTACACCTGGTGTGATATTGGGAGCCTCCCTTCTTCCTCTTGAACACAAACCTCTGAAGATGGAAGGCTGGATAGGTAGTTTGCTGTTTAGAGAGCAAAACTGGTAATGTTTGGTGCTACTGCACTATTATGATCCCAAGAACCTGGTGGGCAAGATTTAGGGTGGAGTCATCTTTTGGGTAGATGAAAGCTGCCCCCCTGCCCATTTTTTTGTGCTTATTAATGCTTATTTTGTTGCATTCAGATACCATGGTGATGTGCAGAATATATTATAGAGTAGACTAGATGAGATGATAGCTGGACATTTTTCTTGTAGGGTTAAATTGTGATTTTAGAGAGAGCCTTAAGCAAAGGTGGTGTGTAAGCTACAAAGTAGCTGGTAAATAGCCCTGAGGAAACACTGACTTAGACTCATTTCTGAGTAATAATTTCTCCCCTATTTCTTCCTCGGTCTGGGGCAAGTAATTTGCTGTTGTCCTATACCAGCAGGAAATTCTGACATCCCCACACCCGCTGAAATGCACTGCCCACCAAGTAGAGGGTAGGGCCAAGACTGACCCATTTCCCCACTCCTCCCTAACCACCTGCTCCAGAGGGAAGCAAACAGACATGCAGCACCTGCTTACTCCTATGCACCTGGGCCGAACATCTGGGTAATCCATGTACGAGGAGCTCTAATTCCCCATTGCCTCTTTGCATGGGCATGTAGTTCAGGTCACAGTCTAGCCCTTAGCAAATGCCTCACTTGTATTTAGCCCATGAAAATAGTTCTGACCTATTTGTACTCAAGAGGTAAGAACTAGTGCAGAACTAATGCAAGCCTCCACAGAGAAAGTGAAAATTAGTGCAAATTCCCCATTGCTCTTTAACCTGCAAGCAGAGGAGAGACATTTTCCTCTCTAACCTGCACTGTAGATGTTTATTGTATATTCTCTGTTCATTCTTTGGGCGGAAAAATACAGTGATGCCAATGGGTGGAGTTCCCTGACCAGCATGAATGCAGCATTGATAGATTCATAGTTTAAGGCCAGAAGGGACCCCGAGGCCATCTAGTCTGATCACCTGTATAATACAGATCATAGAATTTCACCCAGTTGCCCATGCATGGAGCCCAATAACTTGTGTATGGTTAAAGCATAGCTTCCTGAAAGGCATCCAGTCTTGACCTAAAGACATCAAGAGTTGGAGAATCCTCACCTCCCTTGGGCAGTCCTTTCCAGTGGTCAGCAGCCCTCACTGCCAAAACCTTGTACCTCATTTACAGTCTGAACCTTCCTACCTGCAGCTTCCTGACATTGGTTCTTGGTATGCCTTTCTCTGCCAGCCCTAAGAGCCCTGCAGTACCTGGCATTTTCTTCCTGTTAAGGCACCACACAGTACAATCAATTAGAACTGTACAGAGAATAAAAATTCCATTTCATGGAGGATTTTGAAATTTGGTTTTGCTTCAGTTGGGAATAAAACCTCAAAATTCTAAAACTCTCTGGAAAAAACCCAAAACCCTTTGTTTTGGATTGATAACATACTTAGTTTTGACAAGTTCACTTCAATGTAGACTATCTATGTATATCTATATATATTTATCTATAGATTGATAAAATTAATACAAAGTAAAAAAATTGAAAATGTCATTTTGAAAGGAAAAATTGAAATACTTTGTGCTAAAGTTGTCAAAACATGATGTTTGCACATCATCAGAACTTTGTTCCCTTTTTCCTCTGAAAAGAAATTTGTCAATTTCACAAAGTGCTTTGATTTCAATCGACCTGCATTGTCAGTGAAAAAGGATTCCATCTAACTTTTTCTGACCAGCTCTACTCTCCTGACAGATGTGGGCCTAACAGATGAAGCTCTTCAAGTCTCCCACTGCAAGGCACTTTCCCCAGCTTCAAATAATTTTTGTGGCTCTTTTCTGAACCCTCTCCAATTTTTCAACATCTTTTTAAAATGTGGGCCCCAGAACTGCATATATCAGGGGCTCTCAAACTTCATTGCACCACGACCCTGTTCTAACAACAAAAATTCACTACACCACCCCAGGAGGAGGGACTGAAGGTTGAGCCCAATGGCTTCAGACCCAGGCGTGGGCAGTGGGGCTCAGGCTTCAGCTTCGGCTCTGGGTCCCAGAAAGTCTAAGCCTGCCCTGGAGACCCTATTAAAATGGGGTCCTGACCGATGTTCCTTCTAATTTTTGACAGGCCGTGTGTGCAAAAAATGTCTTCTGTGCAAATTTTTGAAGCAGAGTTCAAATTTGTGCACCATGAGGCAAATGCTCCCAAGCGAGTAAAATGCTTATACATTTAAAAAGTTTTAATTTGCAATTTGTGATAAAAATAGTTTTACACTATGTTATTTTAGAAATGTCATTTTAAAATACTTAGAAAAAGGAAATTTAACCATTCTTCATGAAGCAGAAGTTAGTTTTAAGCATTATGCTTTATGATCTTTTTTATAGAAAATCACGAGCATATATCAAGCACATATTAATCATGATCATTATCAGTCCATAGGCTTCTGCCCATTGGTGTCCACTTTCACCTTTCATTCTATACACATGTCCGAAAAGATTTTGATAAACATATAATAAAGACAATTTAATAAATATGCCCATTATGTCAATTTATATGGGTTTTCAGATAGAGACATCATAAGTAAAAAAAGAAAAACAAGAGTTTGTGTTTTACATTTAAAATTTTCCTAAAAAATATCAATAAATGATTATCAGCCAAGAATAAGATATGTAATTACAAATGCATTTTAATTTCCTTATTGGTCGAAATGTCAAGGACCGCTAAACTAACCTTACTGTTTTTCCCTGCGATCTTTTTCATTTGCCCATTCAATATAAACTGTCCAGATCTATCAGTCCTCCATCCAGATGGTAACTCTTAATACACACCAGCATGTCCAAATGATCTACTTGTAAACGACTCCGTAGTTTGTGTTTTAGAGTGTTCATTAAGCTAAAGCCATGCTCACAGTCTGCACTTGATGCTAGGAATGTTCCTCCAATATCCATCAACTTTGCAAGCTCCTGAAACTGTTCGTTCTGGTGAGCAAATGTCACCATATCTGGGAAACTTAAAACCAATTGGCTTTTGATTCTTTCGGTTAGTGCAAACTTGAAGTCATTGTACTGACTGACTATAACAATCTCTTCAGCAATAAAGTCTTTGTATTTTGAACATGGGGATTTGACCTGATGAATTCCAAAATTGAAGTCACGTTTAACTATTGCTTCACAATCAAAAGCGGACCACTCCTGGACTTCATCCTCTGGAAACCTGTCTGCCAAATGTGCACACAAGATGTTTATGAAAGTTATTATGGAACTGGTATCAATTTCACTATTTTCTTGAGAGCTCATATCTAAGAGAGCCTTAACTTTGTCACTCCATAAGACTGAATCTCCAAGGTACTGTCTTCTGATCTTCTTCAGTTTACCTCGGGCAAGGTGAAATGCTTCAAGAGATGTAAGGTCCCATTTCTGGAGCAGCGTGGATAGTGAAGCCAGCTCCAACAAAACGTCATTCAAAACTTCTAATGTTATTCGGTATTCCATGGTATTCAGCTTTTTGTGGCAGTATTTAGAAACTGGATCAGTATCTTTGTCTTGCTCAAAATATTCCAGAAGAGGATGATAGTTGCGAATAATTGCTCCAAGTGCAAAGTGCCTAGATAACCAGTGCACTTCACTGAGTGGCCTGAAAGCCACTGACTCACATTCAGAAGTATCCACTCTTTCCTGAAATTTGCATTTTCTCCTGGATGACCGACAGAACACTGTGTAGACAGTTCTCATTAAGGTATCGATGTCTCTTATCAGCTTGACCTCTTTCCATGCTTCAGAAATCCCCAAGTCTTCCCGGTGTGCAACGCAAGGTTGCTGGACTAAGTGTGGAATATCACGTTTCAGCTGAGCCGCCACGCCATTGAGTTTGCCCAACATCACAGAGGCACCATCAGATGTGAACATCAGCATTTACATTAGATCAAGTTGGTGTTTCTTATAAAATTCTTTGATTGCAGACACTATTGAAACGGCATCACATTCTTGCAATCATAATAGTCCACCAAACGAAGTTTTATAGTCTGCAGAATTTATGGATCTATATTTAAAGTAGAGTATCAAGTATCTGTTAATGGATATATCAGTGCTTTCATCAACTGCTAGAGTATGAAACATTGCTGATGCTATTTCATGCATGAGGTCATTTTGGACAATGCAGTTGATAATTACAAGACATTCAAAAGCATAATTTTTACTTCTCCAGCTCGCTGGTATGCGCACATACTTTTCCATATGGTCATTAATATCCTGAACAGAAAGCACTGAGCTGTTCATTCTAATAGACAACAACACACTGTCAATTAGTACCTTGATTTCTTCTGGGTTTGAGCGCTTGCATTCAAGATAATTTGTCTCCTCTGCTTTTCAGCTGGACTTTCAAGAATCATGCTAAGCAATCCGCTCCATAAGGAAGGGTTTTTGTTTCTAAGTCTTGTTACACCATCTATATGAGACTTACTTGACAGATAACACTTTAAGAAATCCAACTTCCATACATCATTCCACATTCTTCCTGTTGAAAATTCTCCCGAAGCTCTGGCATCTCAACAATATACACATCATATGTGAATGTGTGAATATTTCACGAAGGTTAATAAGCATTACGCTCTGTGACTTTGGTGTAATCATCTCTATAGTCTCATCCAGCCATCCAGATTTAAATGAAGTCACTGTTCTTTTATGCTTTAGACATCTAGACAGTGACATTTTGGGATTGATATTTTTACCAGATTGGTTTATTTAAAATTAATACTTTTATTATATGGCTACTATTTCAATGCACTTGACAGTGTGACTCGACAAACGGGCAAACGGGAGATCATTCAGATCAGGATACCGGAAGTTTGTGCATAGCTCCGATCACGTCCATGCATCTGCGGCAAAAAAACGTGGAAAAATGGTAAAACAGCATGAGTAAATGTATGAAGTCCAATGCCTTTGAAAGATTTCAATCATGAAAACAACACTTACCTTTGTTTATTTCTGGGAAATCTTTGCAGTTCCTTAGCAACTACGGCCAGGCATTTTGACTTATTCGCACATATTTGAGTTTGTACACAGCCAAATGAACAGACTACAAGGAGATGTGTGGGGTCCCGACCCACACTTTGAGAACTGCTTGCATACAGTATTCCAGTATATTCCAGAATATGCATCGTCATCTGCAGTGGAGACTGAAGAGAAGTTTGCATATAAACTGATAGTTTCATAAAGCTCTAGCAGTGGAAATATAAAAGTGGCTTATGGAGCCTGCATCATACTCCTACAAGACACTGACATGACATATTATAACATCTCCTTGGAAACCACTGCAGTGTGTGGGCTGTCAGTACATATAAGCCATTCTACAGATTATATATTGTGGAACTATTATAATGACAGTATGCCATGAAATCAGTCAGTCAATAGGACTTTGCATTTTGCTTCTTAATGCCTTTCTATATGGCTCCTGCTAAAAGTACTTTCACAGTGATTAACTTTCTAACTTAAGTATATGGGGTGTTTGAATCTCAAAAGAATGCAGCAAACAGTCCACATTATGGACTAGGACTAATAAATGATTTCTAATTTAGCATGTATAGGTCATCCAGGTCCCAGTTCAGCACTGACTGCAATGGGACTTAGTCACTTCCTTAAGTAGCCTGCTGAGTATGTGTGGGATAACATATGTGCTTAAAGTTAAGCATGTATTTAAGCGCTTTGCTGAATTGGGCCTATGTTAGATATTTAACCTGATTAAACTGCTGCTTTATCTGGCTTTCTAGTCTCAGACATATTCGTGGGACATTTCACATTCAGACACTGAGACGCAGCTTTATTGTTTTGGCTTTAAGAAGCAGTAGCATTTATTTAACTTTTTGCGTATAGGGTCATAGATCTGCATGGTGCTTTATATACAGCAAAATGAGACAATCCTTGCCCCCCAAACCATACAATCTAATATGTGTACGACAAGACCTCCGTAATAGTATCTCCTCCTGCATATATACATGCAGGAGGAGATGATATGGGGAGTGGGGAATAAACAAAATAAAGTCTTGACGTTGCTAGTTTGGTAGAGTATGCACCAGGTTCCATCTTCATTTTTAAAAAGTTACACCATAAAGAAGAAAAACAAGGCGAACCCATTTTTTTCTCCTCTGAGGTTAACTTTAACAAGGACCAAGAGTTATCACCAACAAATCCCCTCCTCTCCATTTCCCCACTACAGAAAATAATGATTTCTTCACAAATTTTCCTTTCTCGCTTTCCCCAACACACACTGTTACTATATACTGTTTCAGTTCAGAAGTTCAGTGAAGCAAGTTTAATCTGTGTGCCAAATAACAAAGCTGTAACAAACTGGCTAGCATGTCTGGCCATGATCCAAAACTCATTGAAAGCAATTAAAAGATGTCCATTGTCTTCAGTGGGTTTTGGATCAGGCCCTGTGTATGCACTGCTCTCTACTGGACAGAATAAGACTTACTCAACTGAGTCACTGGTAGAGCTGGGTGACATTTTCTTGTGCAAAACCGTTTTTTTTTTTTGGCCAAAAAGTGTAGAATTGGATCCATCAGAACAATTCACGGCTCTGTTTGATTTCGCTAATTGTTTTGGTTGGAAAAACAATGTAAGAAGTTTGGAAACAATTCATTTCATCATTTCCAGAATGAAACATTTCAGTAGTCATTGGGGACATTCTGTTTGAGCTCTGCTTGATCACAGAGATTTAGAGTAGAAAGAACTGATTTCTGTGGCCATGATGTGCAACAAAGTGACAACAGTTACCTTTCTAGATGGCCAAGGAAGTGCTGGAATATGCTATTTCAATAAGTAATTTAATTCATATTTGTATAATGTTTAGAAAATATAAAGCTCTATAGGATTAGGGTTTAGGACCTGATTCTGCAAAGATTGATGCATCTGCTGAACTTTACGCACTGACTAATCCCATTAGCATCAGCGGGACTACTCACAGTGTGTGAAACTAAGTATTTGTGTAATTCTTTGTAAAAACAAGGGCTTGAATATCACTATTGTTATAAGTATATACTCAGAGCCAATGTGAGATCATTTCAATCACTGTTGGAAATACGGCCCCTCCTGCCCAGTCTCCATTATAATGTAATTAATGTACTGTTCAGTAGGAAAAGGTGCAAGAAAATTGCTCAGATAACATCTAAAACTACAAAGCATCAGAAAGACTGACATGTATCGCATTGAAATGGCATACTTTTTGCCTGCGTGCATATAATTTAGTGGGTAATTTAGTGGACCAGCTGCAGTGAGGACAGAGTGGATTCTGTAGAAATGTGGCTTCAGTACATTCACCACAAAGTGATCTTTTATTTTTATATTTTGTGAGTGTAACTCTCCTGGAAGGTGCTAGAGCAAAAGCACTGGAGAATGAAGTCTTCTGTTCCTTCAGAGTGAAAATCATCCCTGTGCAGAGGGACAATACAAGGTCTATGCACCAACTAAATCCAAATTAAACCCTATTTTTAGGGCTTACAGACGTGGTGCACAGGACTTCTGCTGGCCCTTTCCACAGGTATGAATTTCATTCACACATCGTGGACAAGCAGCAGTGCTAACTTCTCCATCCCATAATACCCACCAGCATTGCTTGACCCTACACAGGCAGAGACCACCTCTAGGGCTGAGGGAATGGATGGTATTTTAACTTTTTCAAACCCATTTTACTATAGTGAAATATTTGCAATGAAAATAGGAACTGTTCAATGAATGACAGCAGTCCTGGGACTTCATGGGTGAGAAAATCCCTTGTTCACCTTTTATATGAGGTGTGAGCTCATGGAAACTTGGAGCACTTTGCCATTCCCCTCCCAAACACCCAATCACCATTTTAAAACTTTACAATGTCCCTCAGTGGATGTATATTAGCACCACTCCCCGGCTTGCAGACACTTTCAGAGAAGGTGAATTAAAAGCGTGAAAAAGAAAAGACAATAAGACAGCGATCAATGAATAAGCACAAAGAAAAGTGGTGCTGGGCAGCCTGTTTTCATTCTGTTGCAGCTCTGTAGGCAACATCCTTCACTGGGGTATCTAAGAACTGGTCAAATCATTGCACAGTTGTTTTACAGGTGGAAGTAACATAGATGTTTACAGTTCTCTCAGCCTTAATAAACTAAGGTGTAATTAATAAAATAGGAAGGAAATGTATTTAAAAAAATAAATGGCTGAAGTTGACATTGAACAGTCATTAATTACTATTATTTACATTATAGATTAGGGCTCCATTGTGCTAGACATTGTACAAGTAAAAGATTGAGTCCCTAAACTAAGATTGTGAACGCTTAAGACAAGATATTACATATAGGTAAAACCAATAAATCGGGCTGGGGGCTGAGGGAAGGGAGAGAAGGAGACAGCAATGTGAGCCTGTATTTTCATAGACTATCTGTGTGTGGTTTAAGCATAGAGGTTCTTTGTTCTGTTGTTCTAGATAAGCCCTGCAGTGGAAGTATTCACAGCTTGCTTCCTGCCAAGCTGTTATCAGCTGGAAGGACTCTATAGATGTCATGGCAAAGTGAGTGGTGTCTGAGTAGTGGCTTTACTGATCCACCTTGTAGGAGGGTGTCCCACAGATAAGAGGATGCACATTAGAAAGTATGAAGATGGTTCTAGAAAAAGCTGATGGTTGAGGCTGGCAATGTTGGAAGTTGATGATGCAGTACGAAAATAGAGCAGATAGGTAGTGACGTGGCCAGAATAACGGGCCAGGAAGAACACACTTTCCGTACAGTAGTACTTCACTCACTGGAAAAAATACCCATTCACTGTCAATTGTAAGCCCTTCAACGTAGAAACCATCTTTTTGTTCTGTTAGTACCAAGCCCAACAGGGCCATGATCGGGCCTGTAGGTGCTATCGAAAAACAAATATTATTAATGGCAAGGGGACCGATTTCTTTTCAGTTGAGTTCCCAATTTTGGTTGGATGTATTCCTGGAAGTTTCATCACATGACATTATCTTTAATTAAAGATTAATCTTTAATTCCTGGAGACTCCAGTACAATCTTGGCGGTTTGACAACCATGCTTTTCAGGCATGTCTGCAGGATACAGCATCTCCTTCAGAAAAGGTGGGGAAGATTATTTTTTAACTAACAAAACAATGTGGAGTTTTTTAAACTACTTTCTTTTTGTAACATGCTCTAAAGCTTTACACTCTGGAATGTGTTAGTTTAAAGTCAGTGAATCAGGTTAATCAGCCAACCTGCACAGCAGAAACATTTTCAGATTCTGGAGTGACCACTAGAGGATGGTTCAAGACAAGAGTGCTTTCAAATAGCAGTAATGTTGTTAGCATCTCCAGGGATCTTTGACATTGTGCCATAGTCAAATTCATCCCTTGTCTCTACTTACATCAATAGAGTCAAACTAGGGATGAATTTGGCCCACGTATTTTATAACCAGTTGCTTTTACAGACAATGAATTATTCCAAAAGTAAAATACAGCATATATTTAACCTATTTTTCATAAAAATTCTATTGCTTCTTGCAAATAGGTTATATTATATGAATACATGTTAGTATACTCTGTGTGTGTGTGTGTGTGTGTGTATCAGCTGGTATATGAAAGCTCGATTATGCATAATTTACAATTCCCTGAAATTGTTTTTGGAGTGTTTTTTCTAATATAAATCATTAATAGCTTTAAGGTGCTTTGTCAGCCTCCAATCATCTTGTTGTTTTCATATGATTTTTAATTAGCTACTTTTCCTGTGACTTTGTCACAATCAACTATATTTAATCTTCTTGCAATTAAACCATGGAAATGTGGAGGCATTCTAAAACCATATTATATCAAATGTAATGTAACTTCATGAATTAATTAGAAGGCTACATTTTCACCTGAGATCCAAGAGGTGGTTCTCAGATAAGCAGCTCAAATGAAGGATTATTTTGCATGAGGTATAGAAATGTTGATCCTTGTGTTGCTTTTTTTTTCCTTTTTATTTCAGCGGGACTAAGGCCAGAGGGGCACCCCAATAATACTGCAGCAAATGGATTTCCAAAAGACATTTGTTCTGTTGGAAAAGGAGGGGCCTTTAGTCTAATGTATTGTCTATTGCCTCGACTCTTGCTGAAATTAAGGTTTGTTTAGGCAAAACAAAATTTCACCTGTTACATAGAACAACTGATGGATGGGCAGCAGCCAATGCAGATATGGAAGCCAGCAAACAGATATTATAGCTACACCCTATAT